TGATCAATGTTTTCCTAGCACGTTTATGCTTCTCTCTCTCTTTCTTTCTCCCTCCCTTCCCCCCTCTCTAAAAATAAATAAAGTCTTGAAAAAAAAACAATGCTTAATCCTTGATTGAATTCTATATTTAAAAAACAAAACCTGTTAAGGATATGTTGGGGATGGTTGGAAATTTGACTTTAAACTACATGTTGCTTATATTTTTGTATTAGTTAAATTCCTTGGGTGTGATAATAGTATTATGGTTCTATAGGAGAATGTCCTTATTAGGATATAAATGTCTGCAACTTAATTATAAATGGCTTTGAACACTATACTGTATATGTTTGTGTACATTTGCATGAGAGAGAGAAAAATAAGAGAAAGCAAATACAGCAAAATGTTAACAATTGATGGATCTAGGTAATGGGTACATGGGTGTTTAATTGCACTGCTTTTAATGTCTAGGCCTGAATTTTTTCAAAATAAAAAATTGAAAGTGAAAAGAGTTTTGTTTGGTGTCCTACAGAAATATTGAAAGAACAGTGCAATTAAACACCCATGTACCTATTGCCTCAATTCAACAAAAATTAAGAAAAAAATAAAATTACAAATGCAACTAGTCTTTGACTCAACAGCTCCATTTCTAGGAAGCTATCCTACAGATAAACATGCAAAATTTTGGCATTGCTTACAGTATTAAAAGGTGATAGGCAACTTACATGTCTATCAATAGAGGTATGGTACATGTCTTCAGTGAATACTATTTGATTAAAAGGAAAAATTATGTGTTGGAAGTTCTGTATGTACTGATCTGAACCAATGAAGATATGTAGTTGAGTGAAAAAGGCAAAATGAAAGAGTGTATTGATGTGCTATGATTTGTGTGAAAAAGTATTTACACACATACCTACTTACATACAGTGCTTTGATTTTTTAGTATAGGGTAGCTTTGAAAGGATGGACAATAAACTGGTAACATTTGTTGTCTCCAAGAAGGGAAGCTGGGTGTCTGGGGGCAGAGGAAAGGCAAAACTTTGTACTGAGTACTTTTTGAATTTTGGATCATGTGAATGTTATTAACCACTGAAAAACTAAAAATAGTTTAAGTGTGATTTTTTTAAAAAAAGAACAATATATCCCTGGTTGATGTGGCTCAGGTGTGGCTCAGATAACGGGTTTGATTCCCTGTGAGGGCATATGCCTAGGTTGCAGGTTGTGGCCAATATGAGGTACCTGATCAAATGTTTCTCTTTCACATTGATGTTTCTTTCCCTCTCTCCTTTCCTTCCCCTCTCTCTAAAATCAGTAAGTATGTTCTCAGGTGAGGATTAAGTAAATAAGAACACCATAAAAAACTTTTTATTTTGGGAAATTTTCAAAGGATGAGGGAACATCAAGATCAAGAATTTGGCGTAGTCTAGGGCAGAAAGAAATTAAATTTAGCATCAAAAACAGTTGCAGTAATGGTTCATTAGGCTTCCCTAAAGCCTGGATGAAATCTCAGACATGGGGAAACTATCCTGGATTGGCTGGGTGGGCCCAATGTAATCACAAGAATCCTTATAAGGAAAGCAGATGTCAGTGATTGTTGGCTTTGAAAATGAAGGGGCTCTGAGCCAAAGAATACAGATGCCTCTAGAAACTAGAATAGGCAAGGAAACAGATGCTCTACTAGGACCTCCAGAAAGAACACAATTACCTCAAAACCTTGACTTTAGCCTAATGAAACCCATTTAGGAATGCTGAACTCCAGAACTATGATATTTTTGTTCTTTTAAGCTACTAAATCTATGGTAATTTGTTACAGCAGCAATAGGAAACTAAAGACACTGGGATAATTACTGTTTCATTGACCTAACTTTTTTGTACACATACTTTTTAACTGTAGTTTTATAATAATATTTAATATAAAGTTTCCTTCATATAGGATGTGCACTTTTCTTGTTAAGTTTATTTCGAGGCATTTTATATTTTTGTTACAATTTTAAAATTATCATAGTCAAATTTATACCAAAAGTTCAAACCATACATAAAAGAAGAGCAATGAAGGCAAAGTCATCCAAAAGTTAAGTATTGAGCATCTTTCCACACACTAGGTTCTTTCAGCTATAAAGAAGAGCTGTGACTGTTGGGTAGGCAACCAACAGTGATTACCACCAATCCCATTGGGGTTTCTATTGGGAATTCACTGATTTTAGAGAATTTTCAAGTTTATAATATTGAGCCTTCTCCTTTGGGAACATAGTTTTATATATTTCTCTGTGTAGGTCCTGAATGTTTCTAAAAGTTTATTCCTAGTTACTTAAGGTATTTGTTGCTACTATGAATGAGTTTTTTCTATTACATTGTCTAATTTGTTACTGTTAACACCTAATAAAGCTCTCATCTTTTTGTATTTGTAATTAGTTACACTACTGTAATCTCTTATTTGTCCCTTAAACTATCCAAGTATATAATTGTATCTGTAAATCTTTTCCAACATTTTATCTTACAACACTTAGTGGCACTTCCTGAATAATACTGGTAATAGTTTTGTTCTTGGTCTTAATTAAAGTGTTTCTGCCTTGACTGGGGTAAGGCTCAGTTGGTTGGGCATAGTCCTGCAAGGCAAAGGGTTGCCAATTCCATTCCCAGTCAGGGCACTTGCCTGGGATGTAAGTTCAGTCCCTGGTCAGGGTGTGTCCAAGAGGCAACAGATCAATGTTTCTCTCCGTCTCTCCCTCCCTTCCCCTCTCTAAAAATGAATAAAATCTTTTTTTTAAGTGTTTCTAATGTCTCACTAGTAAGATAATGGCAGCTTATTTGGGATGTCTTTTTTTCTTAATTATGTTAAGGAAACATAATTTTTTTCACCTTAATTAGGAACTTATGTTGAATTTTACCGATTTTTTCAAAGTGATGAAATTGATTATATGGCTGTTTTCTCTTTGACCTATTAATATGGTCAGCTATAATAAAAGACTTCCTAATATCAAATCATCCTTGCACTACTCAAATGGATCACTTGGACACTGGGTTTCCCTTTCCAAATTTTCCTTTCTATGTTCCAGGTCAATTATGCTGATGAGATTATTTTTCTTCAGGCAAAAGATTAGGTTTCTGCTGACTGAGTTTTGGTCTTATTAGAGGTTGCCTCCTTGAGATTTCAGATAGATCACTTAGGTTATAATTAAGGGTATATCTAAAACTTTTCAATTACACACTTACATAAATATATTCATGAGTTGCTAATTTAAGTATTAGAAATCTACTTTGTCTTATTTCCAAGTTATTAGTAGGTTGTCTTATAGGAAAGGAACAGAAACTACTCAAATTGGCTTACACAGGAATAAAGGGAGATTTATTGGAATGTAGGGGTATTCCATAGACCTTAAGAGCAGTATGTGTTGTTGGGCCCCTGAGAAACCACAAGAGATCTAGAAAGCAGAATTCAAAACTGTTTTCCTGTCCCATACTCCCACTTTCTTAAGTCTCTCAATTTCTTCATCTTTCTGCAGATGGGGTTTCTCTGATTTAACATACACAAAGCCACAGAAGTTTAATTTTAGTAAAGGTCAAAGTCATGTGACCACTCAGTCAAGAGGGGCTATAGATGTGCAGATTCTCTGAGGAGGAGTATGTGTGAAGAATGGGAGGTAAATACGGATATTTTTGATATGACATGCAACTCATTATCCCCAGGTACTATCCATAATCACTAAGTTAGGTTGATAGTACTTCGAGAATGCTTCCTGAATCTGTTGTCATGGCTCTAACTCAAGCCTTCATCTCTTATCTGAAATAGTGCAAGAGATTCCTTAACAGTTTTTGCTGTCTCTCCCGAAATCTATCCTTCAATGCCTCAAGACAATGGTGTGAGAATTAAATGAAAACTTGGAAGCACTCCACAAATACAAAGCAGTGCTTGGAGAAAAAAAAATACATCTAACCATATAACTCATCTGCTTAAACACATAAAATGATTTATTTCCCCATTACGTAAAAAATGAAGACAAGCCTAGGCTGATGTGGCTCAGTGGCTTCAGTGCGGCCTGCTAACCTAAGGGTCGGGGGCTGCCAGCCAGGTCCCCAGTAGTGGGCCGCGAGAGGCAACCACACATTGATATTTCTTTCCTTCTCTACCTCCCCTCCCCTATCTCTAGAAATAAATTTTAAAAATCTTAAACAAAAAAATGAAGAAGAAAGCTCCATACATGGTCTTCAGCCTCTTCATAGCCTGAACTAATACGTAACTCTCCAGTATCACAACCTTACAATACGTTCCCTCCCACAACAAAAATACTATCCCTTGACCACGTTGTTAAATTTCTATATCCATAATGCTCTTATCTGCTTGTCCACTGCTTTGCCAGAGAAACCCCATTCACCCTTAAAAACCGGAATAACAGCTCAAACTTGCCAGTAAACCATGATAAGTTTACTTCCTCAAAATCAATGCCTTCTTCCTTTGGACTCCTGCAAATCTCCAGCATAGTACCACAGCTTGACTAATATTCCAGCCTTTTTTTTTTTTTCTACCTCCACCAGTTCGATTTTCCAGTTTCATCCTTCTACTCTAGCTTCCTCATCTCGACCACCTCCAAGGGCCCGGAAAGCGCCTGGCTCTGGGAATTTGACTAAGAGTCTCAGAACCACTCCAAGCGCCTAAAGCTCACGTTCAGATAATTTATCCAAAGTAGCTAGCTCTCAGGCCCAGGCTGTTTTCCAGAGGTGGAGGAGTTACGTCCGGCGCGTCCGCCGGCATTGCATACTGGGAGATGTAGTCTCGGGCCAACCAAACTCCTGCTTGATAGTTGTAGTCCTCGATCTGGTAAATGAGAAGGCAGCAACTCCTAAACTTTGAATTAGTCCTTAGAGGTAAAAGGAAGAGGGCAATCCATAATACGAAGTTCACGTTCCACGAGTTTATCTCTGGGGCTGGCGAGCAGCGGCCCCAGAGGCTAGAAGGCGGATCCCAGAAGGGCGGGGAGACGTTACGTAGACGCGAGCGTGACGCTACCCGAGAGGGTTTGGCGGGATTTACGAAACTAACCGGGCAGAGCGCGCGTTACAACGAGAGACTGAGGCCTGAGAGAAGCTGAGGCGTCCCCCGAGGCGCGTAGTTGGGGGCTGAAACTCGGTTGGGTAGTGTGCAGAAGGTGGGAGTAAGGGAGTAGAGAAGTGGGGCGCGAGCCAGGGCGTCTGGAGTCTGTCCAGGGTCGGGCGCGTGCCGGGCCGGCGGACGGAGGTCGGGGCGCGCAGCCCGCTGGAGCGAGTAGCGCTGCAAGCCCAGGTGAGTGTGTCAGGCACAGACGGGGTCCCTATCCACTGCCGGGTTCGTCCCCTCGTTAGCCAGACCGGGATCCGGGCCAGTGCTCCCTCACTCGACTTATGGGGCCCCTCCGCCGCAAGTGAGGCAGGGCCGCGCCGGGCCCAACCGAACTTTGGAGCCCGACATGGCGAATACAGAAGCTGACTCGTCTTTAGAGCTGGGGGGAGCCTTTTTGTGACCTTCCTTTTCATTCCCAACGCTCATTTTATGGGCGTGGGCGAAGAAGCCGAGATCCAGAGAGGTGTAATGACTTAAAACCACAGCTGTTTTATGTTAATTAGGGTGACCGGATTTCTGGTCGGCCCTCTTTCCATTACACCATGTTTTGCTTATTCCAGGTGTCACAAACATATTTTCATTTTCTGATTGGAAGACCATTTATACGATGTCTAGGGAATGGTGTCTAGTGAGCTTGGGTTTTCTTTTTTAAACCTCTGAAGTGAAGTGTGATATACATATAGATAACACAAATCAGAAGTGTGCACATCTCCATGAGTTATTACAAAATGAATATACCTGTATAATTACCACCCTGGTCAAAAAATAGTATGTTCTCAGCACCCCAGAAGCCTCCTTGTGCCCCCTTGTCTAATACTCTCCCTTCTCTCCAAAGGCAACCACTATTGACTAAGACCATTGACTAATTTTGCTTGTTGCTGAATTTTATATAAGTAATACAGTGAGTATGTGTGTGGTATTTGCATGAGTTTGAGCCAAACTGATGACATATATGCCAGGAAGCAAGGTCTCAAATGCTCTTCTAAGTAGCGCTATACATATTTGTGTCTGGCTTTGTTTAACATTCTGTCTGTAGACTGATACATACCTTTGCACATAAACAGTAAGGGTTTTTTTCTGCTTTTATTTTTATTAGTACTTTTTTCATGCTGAAGTTTTGAAAACCATGGCCATTAGCTTTTGTTTCTTTGCTTTCTTCTGGGGTATCTTTTTCATCTGTGCAACCAACCTCTTCTGGTTTAGGAACAATCCACTTTTTTTCAGAATGGATCTTTTCAGTGCGGCAGGGAGAGCTCCTGTGTGGGTTCACCCGCCCGTGAGTTCTGTAAGTTCTACGCTGCATCTTGGAAGCTTTGTTCACCTGCATGTGCTCAAGGCCCAGAGAGTCCACATCTACACCCTTAAGTTCAGCATTACTCTCTGCACTTTTAAGCATGTACAGCAAAAACTCAGCACTCTTTTTGGGCCACCAACCCTGTCTGGCCCCTGTGGCCTGGGCATGCCTGGGCATGCCCACCGACCCCACCGACCCCACCATTGTAACGACAGAATGGCACACATTGCTTCTGTAAAGTGACACCCTTACTTGATGGCTTTTCAGATGTGCATACCCTTAATGGCCTGGGCAGTTTCACAAGTATTCTTAAAATGAACATGAAGATTTGAACCTCATGTTTTGCATGATTTTGTGGGTTTTTCTGGATCAAATGAACAGTAAACCATTTTCAGAGGTTACCTTTGGTCACTTTCAGGAAGTGCTGCAGTACTTTATTGTTGCTATATGATTGGTATTCCTTATTCTACTCATGGTGGACATTTGGATTGTTTCTGTTTTTTAGCTTGTATGAGAAAGGCTGCCAAGAGAACATTCCTGTATATGTCTTGGTGCACATGTGTATAGTTTTCAGTTGGTTAATAATGTAGAATAGTAAAATTCCTGAGTCATAGCATTTGTCTATTTCAACTTTCACATTTATGCCAGTTTTCCAAAGTTGTACCAATTTACGTTAAAACCAGCACAGCACTGTATGAGTGTTTAGTTGTTTCACATGCTTGCCAACACTTGATAATGTGAATCTCTTTAATTTTAGCTATTCTGGTGGGTATATAGTAATATTTTGTTTTAATTTTTCTAATTAATGATGTTGAGCATTTGTTTATTTATTTTTTATTGATTTTAGAGAAAAAGGAAGGGAGAGAGAAAAATATCAATTTATTGTTCCACTTCTTTATGTACTCATTGGTTGCTTCTTACATGTGCCCTGATCAAGAATCAAACCATTTTTCTTTTGGGTTGCTTTCTTGATGATTTGAAGTTGTTTTTTGTATGTGTGTGGGGGGGGGGTTGCTATTGATTCCGAGAGAGAGAAAGAGAAACATAAATTTGTTGTTCTACTTATTTATGCATTCATTAATTGATTCTTGTATGTGCCCTGATGATCAGACCTACAACCTTGGCTATTGGGACACTGCTTGAGCTATCTGGCCAGGGCAGGAGTTTTTTTACTATATATTCTAGTTATCAGCCCTTGGTTGTACATGTGGTAAATATTTTCTTCATTATAGTTTTACTTTTCATTCTCTTAATGGTGTCTTTTGATAGATAGAAGTTTTCTGTTTAAATGTAGTTCAGTTTTTCAGTCTTTTCCACGTAGGTTACTGCTTTATGTATCCAATCAAGAAATCGTTCTCTAGCCCAAAGTCATGAAGATATTCACCTATATTCTGAAAGCTTTGCCTTACCTCTTGCATGTAGATCTGTAATCTAAATTGGACATAGATTTTCCCTGTTGTTTTCTTATTCTATAAGACTATCCAATCAACCCAGCACTGTTTATTGAAAAGGCCATCTTTTCCCCATTATTCTGCAGTGGCATCATTTTCATAAATTATGAAGGAAGAGATTAAAGTTAAATTGCATTAGGGTGATTTTGATACTTAGAATTTTCATGGACTCACGTTATGCTAAAACTGCCATCTAAAAGATCTGATCTATGCCTGAGCCAATGAAGAACAAATGGTCATCTATCAAGTTTCTAAAAATGGACATTTCATATATGTTGTCTTTTGAATTAAATTTATCCTGATTGTTATATTGTCCAGATCGTTTTGATGTGATTTAAGGCCATTCTTGTGGACATTAAGACTTGTTCACTTTTACTAACTAATAACACCTTTTAAAGGTAATTTAAAAATTTTTTGTCCTCAGTTCTTTTCAACCTGAGTGATCTTTACTTTATCATAATAACCAGGCTTAAGTATGCTTTTTATGGAAGATGTCCCTCTGGGCAGCGTACTTGCCTGTTATTTATTCATTTGTGCATTTCCTGAGGCCTGGAATTCATTAAAATGGTGATCTTTAAATTTCATACATTCCTGTTAGAAGCAAAATGCGTAACTACAAGCTGTGATCCTTGCTTAAGATGGGAAGTACTTTTCTCATCTCAGTCCACTGTTTCTCTGTCAGGAATGGGGGCTCATGGACAGTCATTCTGTACCGTCATTTCACTCCTGTCCCACCACCTCCAATCTCTGCTTGCTGGAAGGGAACAATGGAACTGAAGCTGTTTAACCTTTCATCAATTGGTTTTTAAGTAGAGTTCTGGAAATTGCACTCATTTACCAAATATTTACCAAACACCTAATATTTATAATGTATTATGAAGTTTATACAAATAGATAGAAACTGGTCCCTACCCTCAAGGAATATGAAGCAGGGGAACAGGGACATAGTTGATCTAGTTAAGCTATGCATTGTTAAGAAGCAGAATAATCCTGGCTCTTCCCAGAGTTTTTCAGATACAGCTAGCTAGATGGAAGGGAAAACTTGCGAGATATTAGTTCTTTTTCTTGCCATCTGTAGGTCATCAGAAGCCTATGAAGTAATTCTTCAGAGATTTATTGCAAAACTAAGTTTGCAGCTCTGTATTTTTCTCTAGTGTTTTCCTGATGGCCATCTGTATTTTTCAGTATTGAACACCAAGTGATGGCAATGCAGATGCAGCTTGAAGCAAATGCAGATACTTCAGTGGAAGAGGAGAGCTTTGGCCCACAACCTGTATCACGGTTAGAGGTATGCACATAGTTGCTAATTTGGAAATTTTAAAACTGGACTAGATTCTTCTATTTGGAGAAATCAAAACCTTTATATAAGCCATTGGTTTACTACCTGTTGTTAAGACCCAAATTAGAGCTCTCAGAAGAGTTGTCAAGGATCCTGTGGAAATGTAACCGGAAAAGACACCGGCGTTCGGGCTGCCTGTCACTACCAAATCCAATAAGCAATGACAGTGATTGAATCTTTTATAGGCGCTTTATTCAGATGGCCAGCGATCCGAGAAGATGGCGGGTTCATACCCTAACAAACCATCTTACTCTTTCTTTCCCAGCCAGATCTTTTATAAGGGGGTTGGGGGAGGGCAAACGAGGTGTCAGCGAAAGCCTTTGAAATTCAACAGTTGCCTCCAAGGGGGAAGAGTAGTCCCTTGCTTCTTCCTGGTACAGATGTCTCCAGACAAGGTAATCTCCAGCCAGTGCCCCAGGAGGTCAGCTGCTTATTCTCAGGCCCCAGGATGGGCTTTATCTGTAGTTACTGAAACAAAAACTTAACATACACATTACTTGCTAGATTTATGACTATTTACCTTAAGCTAAATTTTCCCAAGTCTTAAGCCCCTATCAGAAAGGCTTATGATAATTGCTAAACATGTCTGGGCAGATCTCTTCTTTTGTTAAGAATTCTTCTCCTCCTACTTTATCACTTTTCTTTCTCGGAGCTAGATTGTCAGAAACTAAGAAGTCCTAGGATCCCATGAGTCTGTGCTGTTTGTACTGAGTATACATTTACTGTCCAGGGAATACAGAGGCCTGGCCAGTGATGCAGGGAGGCTGTGCTGAAGTTACTAGCAAGATAGCTGTCATGGGCAGGAAGAAGGGCTTGTAGTTGCTAAGGTGTAAGAGCCAAGCCCTAATTCAGTACTCGGCACAAGAACATCAAACACCAGAGCTGGGGCCTTGCACTGTTTCTGCTCATTATGCAGAGGCACCAGTGTGAGTATAGCTAACATGGGCTGAAAGAAGTAGGAGGGGGAGCAGAAAAAGCCTTCATTCTTCTCTCTCTTTACTCATATTTTTTTCCAACCCCAGCTGAGCTTCAAGACTCCAGAAGTTACTTAAACTGGTTTGTGATAAACATTAGAAAATTCAGAGTCATAACTTTCAGTATCATGAGCATCCTTATATCTACACATGTATTGCTTATTGCCTAAATATTAATAGCAGGCATGGTTTCTATGGACAGATATCATTCTCTCATCTCCCAAACCTTCTCCAACTACGTAATACATATATATCCCCCCACTGACTCATACTTTCCCAGAAGTCATGCTTTTGGTGGCCAATAAAACTAGAGCTGACTTCAAATACAGGGAGAAAGAACTGTCTTTGGGTGGTTTGTTTTGAGAAGTGGTATATAATAAGTGCCTGCCAAAAGTAGCTTTCCCATTCTCATTGTTGGTTGGTAGAGGAGAGCTTTTTAGTCATTGTGTTACAAAGAGTATTGATAGGCTAAGACAGTGCTCAACTCTGGGGCAGCCTCATTTGTTTGCCCCAGTTTAGTGTAAAAAAAGACCATTATTTATGTGTGCTTGAGGTGGAAAATATTGGGAAAGACTAGCTTAAAATTGTTGTTTAGAACCCAGGGTCTCAGAGTTCTTTTATCTTCTCAGTCATAAAAGGTCGAGAGTTACACCTTTATATCCAGTGGTGGAAGTTACTGATTTAGTCCCAATTCATGATGAGTCCTTTTAAATATATATAAGATGGCGCTAGTTTAAAACTCCTGGTTTTGATAATTTTAAAAAATTAAATATCTTATATGTATGGCCAACTTTTCAAAACTCTTGCTTATAATATCACAGTTCTTCCAAATAGCTCTGTGAAGTTGGTAGGGCAGGTGGCCACATTAGACAGATGAGAAATTTGTCAATGGTTTTCTTCACTTGCAGCAATGTGGCATAAATGCCAATGACGTAAAGAAGTTGGAAGAAGCTGGATTCCATACTGTGGAGGCTGTTGCCTATGCACCAAAGAAAGAGCTAATAAATATTAAGGGGATTAGTGAAGCCAAAGCTGATAAAATTCTGGTAAGTACTGTTTATGTGACCTAGGGAGGCATTGGAGGGAGTAGTACAAAAGGGTACACAGTGAAAGGTGGCAGTCCTTCCATCCTCGTTGTGTCATCCTGTTCCTCTTTCCAAGGGTGACTGTATAACCACTTAATTAGCTCTGTATGTATCTTGTTGACTAAAGTGGGATTTTCCTCTAAGGAATTGCAGTATCGTGGGTTATGACATAAATTGTGCCAAATTGACTACCAATTTGCACTCCCACCAGCATTGAGTGGTATATACCTTATCTTTCTAAGTGTTATGATCTCATGCCTTAGAAATATTCTTCAGATGGCAGCCACAAAAAACAGGTTCAAAGAATATTTATTGACATAGGGTGATATGTTCCTGATATAAGAAATGTTAACAAAACCTGTGTGTATGAATGTGCAAGTGCATGTGTACCCACACGCTTGATTTTTGTTTTTAAAAAATGTGTGTATAAAGGTATAGCACTTACACTGGGGGTATATCCTCTAAAATATTAATATTTTATCCCCTAAAATAATATTATAAATATTAATATAATATTTTAATATTAATATTTTAGAGGATGGTAAGAACGTGAGCAATATTTTTTGCCTCAATTTTCTGAAGTTTCTACATTTTCTATAATAATGTTTTACTTTTAAATAGAAAAGCTGTTTTTATTACTTGAATACTAAAGCCATATTAATTAGGCTGCCTGTATATAATCTGTTAATCAACTAATCACAGGCAAGATTTTTTAATAATGAAACGAGGATGTGATTTCAAATCATACACTTCGGGGTTTTTTATTGTTGTTTTAACCTTAGTAAATGACAGAAAAGTTATTTTACTGGCTTAACCAAAATGAGGTAGTAATTCAATTTCTGATATAGCAGTTTAATTTTGAAATCCCATCTCTCTCATGTATGTGATCATTAGGTCTTTATAACAACACTGAGAGAGATAGATAAAGCTAGTATTACCTGTATTAATTCTAGTAATCCCAACAGTTTTATGGAAATTTTCTCTGAAAAATAATCTTTAAAAACTGAAGGATCTTCCCAGGCCAATATGGCTCAGTTGGTTGGGTGTTGTTGCACAAAGCAAAAGACCACCAGTTCGGTTCCCTGTCGGGGCACACTCCTGGGTTGCAGGTCTGGTCCCCAGTTGGGGCGCATATGGGAAGCAAAGGATGGATGTTTCTTCTCACATCAGTGTTCCTCTCCCTCTCCTTCTCCCTCCTTTTTTCTCTCACTAAAAATAAATAAATAAAATCTTTATTTTAAAAAGGTGAAGAATCTTTCAAAAGAGTTTATCCTTTGTTATGGGTAGCATCACTACATGTAGTTCTGCTATGTAACTTAGTCAGATGGACAGTGTCTGAGATTTATGTGTACTTATTTAATATCTCACACATAAAACATATACACAAACCAGTAAATTCTGCTTTATTGAATATTATACAAAGAGTTTTGAATTTTCGGACTTCCAGCAAGATGGAGGCGTACGTGGACACACCGTACCTCCACACACAACCAAGATTAGAACAACAACAATTTAGAGGTAGAGTAACACCCAGAACTGACAGAGAATTTATCTGAATGGAAGTCCGACAGCCAAGAAGTTGAAGTAGACCCGTTCATCCAGACCAGTAGGAGGGGCAGAGAGGAGCAGCTGGGCGCAGGTCGAGGAGTGCAGAGAACAGGGAGAACTGGGTGCTTAAGGCAACCGGGAGCGAGTAAGGCATGTGGGGCGCACAAGATCGCAGCAGGTGGACCCTGAGTACGCAAACGGCAGCTGGTGGACCCAGTGAGGCGGTGATTGAGGCGGACCAGGGCAGAGCACAACCCAGGATCCCAGGGAAGGGACTGAGGTGCCAGGAGAACAGAGCTACCACCATTGTTCCCTCCCATCCCCACATACAACGTCACAATGTAACGACTGGGGTGCCCAGCCCCGGTGAACACCTAAGGAGTGACCAGACCAAAAAGAGAGAGAAAGAGATGTCTCAAACAGAAGAACAGATCAATCCCCTAGGACTCATCCTTTTGAGCGGCTAAGAGATAGCCAATCTATCAGATGCACAGTTCAAAACACTGGTGATCAGGAAGCTCACAGAATTGGTTGATTTTGGGCACAAATTACATGAAAAATGCAGGTTACCATAAAAGATGAAGGAAGATGCATGGAGAACCAATAGTGAAGGGAAGGAAACTGGGTCTCAAAACAATAGACTGGTCCAGAAGGAAGAAAAAAACAACCAAACAGGAAAGAATGGAGAAATAAGAATTCAAAAAAACGAGGAGAAGCTTAGGAACCTGTAGGACATCTTTAAACGTTCCAACATTGGAGCTATAGGGGTACCAGAAGGGGAAAAGGAAAAGCAACAGATTGAACACGTATTTGAACAAATAATAAAGGAGAACTTCCCCATTCTGGCAAAGGAAATAGACTTCAAGGAAATCCAGGAAGCTCAGAGAGCCCCAAAGAAGTTGGACCCAAGAAGAAACACACCAAGGCACATCATCATTACATTAGCCAAGGTGAAAATGAAGGAGAGAATCCTAGAAGCAGCAAGAGATAAGGGACAGTCACCTACAAAGGAATTCCCATCAGACTGTCAGCTGATTTCTCAAAAGAGACCTTACAGGCAAGAAGGGGCTGGAAAGAAGTATTCCAAATCATGAAAGACAAGGACCTATATCCCAGATTACTCTATCCAGCAAAGCTTTCATTTAGAATGGAAGGGCAGATAAAGTGCTTCTCAGATAAGGTCAAGTTAAAGGAGTTCATCATCACCAAGCCCTTATTTTATGAAAAGTTAAAGGGATTTATTTAGGAAAAGAAGATAAAGAAACAACATGTAGAGTAAAAGGACAGCAAACTCACAATTATTAACAACCATACCTAAAGCAAAACCAAAAGAAACTAAGCAAACAACTAGAACAGGAACAGAACAACAGAAATGGAGATCACATGGAGGGTTAGCAACAGGGGAGTGGGAGGAGGAGAGAGGGGGAAAAGGTACAGAGAATAAGGAGCATAGATTGTAGGTAGAAAATAGACAGGAGGAGGGTAAGAATTGTATGGGAAATGTAGAAGCTAAAGAACTTATAAGTATGACACATGGACATGATTAAAGGGGGGGATATGGGTGGGAGAGGGTGTACAGGGTGGAGGGGATTGAAGAGGGGAAAATGGGATAACTGTAATAGCATAATCAATAAAATATATTTTCAAAAAAAGTTTTGAATTTTCAGTCACTGGCAGGCTGTTAACTCCATTTTTTAAATACTACTCTATAATATTAGTTTAGTCAGGTCTCAAAATCATAAGTAATTCTTCATTTAAGCCCTTAGAGGAAAGATGTTATTTATTGGATTACTCAAGTAAATAAAGTTTGAGTAGTGACTATCGGAAGTAAGTTCTCAGTCCCTAATACCTCAAGGAAAGATTGTGATATTGGCTAAGCCAGTAGGTGTCCCTAAAGTCTATTTGTTCTTTCTTTTTTCACATCAGAATTTGTGACTGAACATATCCTGACAGGATCTTTACTTATGGTTTGTCAGACCTTAGTTTTAGAAATCAAATCAATGTTCTGCTTCTTTGGAAACCTACAAACCCATAATAAGTGAAATGAGTTGTGCAAAATAATATAGATGTGTCTTTTTACATTTTTGTCCTGTTGATTTCAGACATTTTATATGTGACTTTCTGGTGAGTAAAGATTGTGCTGTTTACTTTTAAAAGCTAAAGATTACTTCAGTACTATGGCTGTTCCTTCTCATTCCCAAAAATATTTGGAATTGAGACTCAGCAAGAATACCCATTGTCACAGTGGAGAAATAAAATGTCTCCAGATTTATTTTTCTGTCTGTCTGTCTGTCTGTTTGTTTTAAAGAGGTGCTAATTCTTTTTTTTTTTTTTTTTTTTAGATTTTATTTATTTTTAGAGAGGGAAGGGAGGGAGAAAGAGATAGAGAAGCATCAATCAATTTGAAAGAGAGAGAGAGAAACATCAATGTGTGGTTGCTGGGGGTCATGGCCTGCAACCCAGGCATGTACCCTGACTGGGAATCGAACCTGCGACACTTTGGTTTTCAGCCCGCGCTCAATCCACTGAGCTACGCCAGCCAGGGCCAGATATATTTATTTTTTATTAAATTTGGGGGGGCAACATTTGTTAGTAAGATTATATAGGTTTCAGGTGTACATTTCTATGGTGCATGATCTGGGACCTTGAGAATATTATGCTAAGCAAAATAGGTCAGTCAGAAAAAGCTAAGGACCCTATGATTTCACTCATAAAGTGGGATATAAAACTGAAACTCATAGACACAGACAGCAGAATGGTAGTTACCAGAGGGAAGGAGGGTAATAAAGGGTAAAAGGGACCAAATATGGTGATGGAAGATGAAAGGAAACTAAAGAAAAGAAGTCCATTCTCAGAATATAAATCAAAATCTATATAGTTGAGAGAGAAAGATATTGTGAATGAAGTAATTCATTCAGAAGGTGCCAGATTCTCCTGTGGCCTTTTCTACATTTTCAAATTTTAAAAAAATTGTTATTGGCTTTTGTTGAGCTTTTCTCCCTTGTTTGGAACACTATCACAGCACCAATACTTTCAGCATGGATATTTTTTGTAATATTTTCCTTTTACTTGCCATTTATGTCTTGTGTCCAAGGGTTTGGTTAGTTCTTGGCTATTGAAAACTTCCAAAGACTTCTACCTAGCACAGGTGAAAGCAAGTTCATTATGTTAAGTATAGGGATAAAAGTAAAGTTCTGCAAGATTAGACAGTTGCATGGCTTTTTACTTCAAATTTTACTTTGGTTATAATATTCTGTTCTTTTAAGAGCTCATAGACTAGAATATGTAGGGGTTAAAATAACAGGAAGGTAAAGCATCTCCTGTATTTTTCCAACATTTTCTTTTTAATATTTTTCATTTATTGATTGATTTTTAGTGAATAAAAAATTTGTTGTTCCATGTATTTATGCATTCATTGGTTGATTCTAGTATGTGCCCTGACCAGGGATCAAACCGGGCATATAGAAACAATGCTCTAACCCACTGAGCTACCCCGGCCAGGGCTGTTATTAAAATTTTTGAACTTGTCCTGGCTGGTGTGGCTCAGTGGATTGAGTGCCAGTCTGTGAACTGAAAGGTCACCCAGTCAGGGCACATGCCTGGATTGTGGGTCAGGTCCCCAGGTGGGGGCATGCAAGAGGCAACCAATGGATGTATCTCTCACACAATGATGTTTCTCTCTTTCTCTCTCCCTTCCTCTCTCTCTAAAAAATAAATAAATAAAGTCTTTCAAAATTTTTAGCTTACTGCAAAGCTGAAAGAATTATACAGGGCACACGCATGTACCTATCACCTAAACTATACCATTAGTATTTCAATATACTTGCTTTATCACCTATCTATTAATCTCTGTCTAGTAGTCAATCTTAGATTTTTTTATGCTTTTCAAAGAAAGTTGACGGTATTAGTACATTTCTCCCTAAATATTTTAGCCTATGTTAAATAGAGTACAATATTGGTTTTTAGCTTTTTCTCCCCTCTCTTTGGTATTTTTATTTTCTAATTTTCATTCATCTTTATTCATCCTGAAATTAGTAGAAGTTACAGGAAGAGAGATCACAGGAAAAAGAAGGGAAGAAATTCTCAAAGAAATAATATAAGAAAACTTAACAGAGTTAAAGGGAAGCAGAAATCTTACCTAGTAGGACTCATAGAGTGTCAAAGAATAACACCTAGACAGATCAGTGTGAAATTTCAGTGTACAACCATAAAGAAAAGATTCTGAAAGATCTGAGAGAAAAAAGTAAGTGCTCTCTAAAGGAACGCAATTAGAAAGTACATTTCCTATCAGAAAAGTGGATGGTAGAAGCAGGTACAGCAGTGCCTTTAAACCTCTGTGAGAAAATAATCTTAAACCTAGCATTCTATGTGTAGCAACATTTTTTTTTTTTAATTGTTTGAATACAGTTGTCTCCGTTTACCCACCACCACTTTCCCCCTTTGGCTTTATCCATGGGTTTAGGTTCCACTTATAGGCAAGCTCATACGGTATTTGTCTTTCACAGCCTGGCTTACTTCACTTAGCATAATGCTCTCCAGTTTCATCCTTATTAATCAACTATTAGGGCAGAATAAAACGTTTTCAGAAACATTTTTCTCTTACATACTTTTTCTTAGGAAGTTACTTGAGGATACACTTCACCAAAATGAAGATAGAAAAACATTGTATCAGCATTAGAGTGGCTCCAACTCAAGTACTCAGTGAAGGAAGGACCAGGATAGTCGCTAGCCTAGAGAGCAGACCGTCCAGTTTGGAGAAGGAAAGATCTTTGGAGTAGGGAAGGAGGGCTCAGTAGAATACATAGTAAGATTAAGGGGTGGAAAATTTAAGAAATGGTAGTCAGAAAATGCTAGAGAAAAACATGGTTCAGATACAAAAGCAAGGTAAAATGGAACATGGTTTTTAAAAAGGTAAAATATAAAAAAGAATTTACTAGAATTTGACAGTAGAAACCTTTGAGAGACATAGTATTAACATTGGAATTTTAGTGAAAGAATTGTGTGTCTGTCACGCCATTGGTTCTGCAATGAATTATATTTACAAAGCTATAATATAAACATTGTAATGAATTTTCAAGTGAAATTTTAAGAATATAGAGAAGTTTAGAGGAAGCTCTTAGATCTATTCACATTTCTTTTTCTTTTTCTTTTTTTCTTTTTTGGTAATCACACTCAGACTGTTTTTTACTGAATTTGGACTCAAGCTCTACTGATCTTTCAGTTCCTTAACTTGGATTCTTTTCCTATTTGAGTGATTTTGATAATTTAAGTCTTTTTAGAAATTTGCCTATTTCATCTAAATTTTCTCACATATTTGTTAGCATAGTTTTATTTTTGTAAGGTTGGTAGTGATAGCCCCTCTTTCATTCCTGATTTTAGGTTTTTTTGGTGAGTGGTGGGAGAGGTCTAGCTAAAGGTTTATTAATTTTTATTGATCCTGAAGAATCAACTTTTGGTTTTGTTAATTATTCTCTCTTTCCTCTATCTTTTTTTTTTTAATTGGAGAGAGAAAGAGAACAATAGAGAGAGAAACATCGATATGTTCACTTGTTCATGCAGTCACTGGTTGACTCTTGCATGTACCCTGACAGGGAATTGAACCCACAATCGTGGTGGTGTCAGGAGGATGATCTAACCAACTGAGCAATCCAGACAGGGCTGTTCTCTCTCTTCTTAATTTATGCTCTAATCTTATTTCCTTCCTTCTGCTTGTTTAGTTTGCCTTCTTTTCCAGTATCTTAAGGTGGATGGTTAGGTTATTGATTTAAGATTTTTCTAATACAAGCATGTACAGCCATAAATTTCCCCTTCCGCACTGCTTTGCTGTATCCCATAAGTTTTGGTGTTGTGTCTTCATTTTTATTCATCTCCAAGTGTTTTCTAATTTCTCTTGTGATTTCATCTTTGACTCATTGGTCATTTAGGAGTGTAGTATTTAATTCCCAGATATTTATGAATGCATTTATTTTTAGTTTTGGAATCAATTGATAGACTGATCATTGAAGACTTATCAGTAACTGCAAAATAGAATATAAATGTCTCAGATAAAGTAAAACATAAAAGGTATGGCTCACCGAGATGGGGAAGTTTAAGTACATGAATGTATTACTTGAATTGGCAATTTAAACATTAATCTTCATTAGCTTATGCTTTAGTTGCCAGAGAGATAAAATAAATCTAGGGCTAGAACTACTAGTATTTTGATGACTTCTTAAAGAGAAATAATACTGGAAATTTGTTAGATGTTGTCTTTTCCTACCATATGCCTGGTTCTTATTTTGCTAAGCTTATTTTGTTGATTTGACATTTCTTGTTTTTCCTAGACGGAGGCAGCTAAATTAGTTCCAATGGGTTTCACCACTGCAACTGAGTTCCACCAAAGGCGATCAGAGATCATACAGATTACAACTGGCTCCAAAGAGCTCGACAAACTACTTCAAGGTATAATAATTTCTTATCCTATGTTGTGACCTGCAGCTAGCAAAGCATCCAGGTCATAGAACAAAACTAAAGCATTTGGATAGAATTTATGTGTTAGACATGATTAAGAGATAAAAGAAGTGTCCACATTGATGAAGTAAGGCTACTACAGGGTGGAACATGATTTGTAAAATACTATCGTTATCTGCCAGTTAAATAATTTAATCTCCATTTAATATTGCATTCAGAGAGTAAGCTCCCTCTGCCTAAAGAAATAATTTTACTGTTCTACCCTAATACAAGGTTGAAAATCTGATGACTGATTAAAACATTCCATGTATGAATACTACATTGTAGTATACATTAATCTTTAGGACTTCAAGGAAAGTTCCAGTTTTTGAACTTTTGAAAACATTGCTGTCCTAAGTAAAATTTGATTTTTGTTGCTTCCTCAAATATTTAATCATTCAAATGTTCTTTTTTTTTTTTTTTTTTTTAGGGTATAAAATAGCTTGGGTTCAGGAATCACACTTAAATTTGGGTGTTGTCTCTTTCCTGTATCTCTGTACCCTCTTCTTTCTAAGGAGGTCCAAGAACATTTCTAGGATTATTGTTTCTAAACATTTGTATGGTGATAAGAGGTGTTTGTTATTACTGTTTTAGGAGGAATCGAGACTGGATCCATCACAGAGATGTTTGGAGAATTCCGAACTGGGAAGACCCAGATCTGTCACACATTGGCTGTAACGTGCCAGGTGAGTTGTTGGGCCTCTAACTAATCAAATCAGCAAGAATGAGTTGATTTCCACTGCTTTCAAGCATTGTGGGGTGGGCATAAAAGGTACTTTCTCTCTCCTCAAGAATCCTATGTGCTAGTTAAAAGATAGATTCCTACTGCAAAATTCTTCCACATCATAGAAACTTTCAGATCATTGATTTCAAATATTTTCTTACCATCCACTAGGCCTCCTGTGGCTTTACCCCCCTTCACTAGTCTAAATTTTACGATTCATCATTAACGTCATTCCTTTACAGATACCCTCAGATTAACATCCCATACCTGAAGAGATGCCAGTCTCAATGAACCCTGTCTTCTCAGTGCCTGTTCCTCAAATAGCTGATCATATAGGAGAAAAATCATAGCATAAAGCTGATTGGCTTTACTTTAAAGATGACAATTAGGCTAACATTCAATAATGCTTGGCAGATCTACTGAATTTCTCCATTTGGGCATACTTTCTCCCACTCGGTAAGACATCTTTATCATTTCTTCTTCAACCTTCATGCTCTTCTTTAACACTACTGTCAGTCGGTGACCCTAACCTGTTTTTCATATCAAATCTATAAATTCACCTACATTTATACGCATCTTTTTTTTTTAATACCCACCTTTTCTTATCTTGGATTATAATGGAGAAAGTTCTTTTCCTCTGAAAGGCCCATCCAACCACTGTATCTGGTTACTATCTCCTGCCACCTTCTCAAGGACTTAGCTACATTAGGAAAAACTTTCCATTGGACCCTTTCAGTTTCAGTTTCTTCTTCCTTTATTTATGCTCCCATTCACAGACACGTTTGAAAACAGACACAGTGAGTTAATTAATTGCCTAAGATCATATGGTATTTAAGTACTAGTAGATACAAGAAATCAAACCAGACTTCTGAGCCAAAGCTCTTAAAACCTCCATAAGGGAAGAAACTAACTGGCTTGTTCTCTGCTTTATTGCTAGTGTCTAAGTCAGTGCTTGGCACTTAGTAAATACTCGACTGGATAGATATGATAGGATATCTTAAGGCATACCTAATATATGGTAAAATAAATGGTATAGGGGAAATAGATTAACTGTTTAAGGAAGAGAAAAGGATTACTTCACCCTAGAGTAATAATCATGGAATATTTATGTAGAAAAGAGATTGGACCAGATTCCTGAAGAATGCTAAATTTGAGCAGGTAAAAAAATTTTAAAAAACATTTAACTGCAGTGAATGGTATGAACAGAAAAGAAGTATAAGGGGCAGGGAGGCATAATGTATTGAGGAGAAAACAGTAAACTCGTTTACCTAGTTCAGTGGTTTTATTTGGATAAGTTGTAGTAGATAAACCTTAAAAGGATACACCAAGGTCATTTTAGAAAGTCTTGATTGCGGTTTAAGAAGCTTACACCTGATTCTATAAAGAATAGGAATTATTCAATGTTTTCAGCTAAAGAATAAGATGAGCTTTATATTCAGAAATTTTCTGGTAGCAACCTATTGAATGATTTGAAAGGAGAGGTGGGAGTTGAGGATATTTGGTATATGATTATTACAAGCACTAGCTGATAAGGACTAAACTAAAAAGTGTCACTGAAGGGATAGAGGTGATGTAAAGGGCAATGCTTAATCATTGGCGATAAATAAATACCCCTCCACTGAACACTGTATTGCTTTGGTAAACTAGGGTTTGGAAGAGACTGTTTTTAGTGGAAAGATGAATTCAAGTTCAAAGATGGTGGGTTTGAGATGGTGAGACAACCAAGTAAAAATTTCCAGCTTTATTTAGAGATGTAGAATTAAGTTCTATATAGAGAAATAACATTGGAATCTCTGAAAATTAAAGATCTATAAGAGAGAGAAGGATATAGGAGAGAAGGCCAAGAAACATTGTATTGTTTTGTAACTTCAAGCAGCATTTTGGGGAAACTTTTTCCCTCTTTGAATGGGATCCTAACATTCCCTGGCTTTTAAGGGTATGCTGTGAGTGGCTAGTCCACAGAGTACCTTACCCTGGTCCGTGCCCATGGTCCAGCTCTTTTGTTATAATCTTTTGGGGCTTTATTACACTGTTAGGTATTTGAAGAAAATGGCATTATTTTAATTTAGATAGATCATACTCACTTCACCCAAGGACACAACTTATCGATGGAATTCAAGAACAACTGTAATGAAATCTTCCTTACATAGAGTATCTTTCCATCCTAGTGTGAGTTCTTATCCTCTCAACAAAACAATAGTAGTTCTTGGAACTTACTTATAAATTTAAATATCAAATATAAATTATCTTTTTTTTCCTTTTTATTGAATTTATTCAGGTGACACTGCTTAATAAAATTATACAGGTTTCAGGTGCACAGTTTCACAACACATCATCTGTACACTGTATTGTTTACCATACCAAGTCTCCTGCCACACCGTTTATCTCCCCCTGTACCCTCCTCTACCTCCTAAACTTTCTTTTGTTTTTTCCCTTATAAAACAAGTTATGAGCTGTCCTTATCAAAAAATGTTGATTGTATTGATGTAATGCTGTGCTTTAGTTAAAGATGGTATGTGTTATAAAAAAATATGATTTTGTTAGGACCCTGTGTCTTGCATAGGGTTTACATTTAGTAAAACACATATGTATGGAAACTAATACAATGAGGCTGATTTTCTCAAGTCAGCCAAGAAAAGCTGCCTCCTTATTTTTCTCATGTTACAAATATGTCCTTTATCAGTCACTGCTTCTGTGTTGAAGTGGTGAATGCTGTTTCTTAAGATAGGAAAATATCTTTATGAATGAAAATTTATCTAACAGCAAGAGACCCAACTCAGGGGGAAAATTGGGACAACTGTAATTGAACAATAATAAAAAAATATTTTAAAAAGTGGCCCAACTTGATAGACTCTCACTTTTTTCATTCATCATTTTAATTGTGTTTCTTTTCTCACTTGCTCTACTGATCTTTTCATTGCAGACCAAAATGTCACCATATATTTTATGAGTCGGCCCAGTTATCAGGGAGACCTAAGCCATTGTTGGCTCCACTTATAAATAATTCCACAGAGGAAAAAGTTACAGGGATAGGAAAACTTTATTGAGGGAGAATCATTTAGAAGAACGGTAGTAGTAAGCTATGGAAACTAGCTTATCTCCTGAGCACCATTAGAAAATTGTTAACTAACGGGAAATAGTACTGTTTAAATTATCACCCTCATCTGGGTCATTTGACATGATATGTGACCCATTTAAATAGAAATGTTTTCCTCATATTTTGACAGGGATTTATATGGAGTAAATATTTAGAGTACAATACACAATACCACAATACTTACAGTTACCAGGGCAACTCAGCATGTTACTGATGCTCTTAAGTTGTGCAAACAGATTTCTATCCTGGGATTTTTTATTTATTTACTTACTTATTTGCCTTTAGAGAGAGGGGAAGGAAGGGAGAAAGAGTTGGGGGTTGCCTCTCACATGCCCCCAACCCATAACCTATTCCTGCAGTCCAGGCATGTGCCCTGACTGGGAATCAAACTGGCAACCTTTTGCTTTGCGGGCCAGCACTCAATCCACTGAGCCACACCAGCCAAGGCTATCCTAGGAATGTTTATTTAGTCATTGAATAATGCCTGTCAACAATAAACTGAAGCAAAATTATCAAATAAACATATCTTTCTATAAAAATAACTGAACATTCACTGGTGGCTAAAGATCTTTTTTCAGAGAAAAACAATGTTAATTCACTAATAATACAAGTGATTACAGTCCTGGCTGGGTAGTTTGTTTGGTTAGAGCATTGTCCTGATAGGTCAAGGTTACAGGTTCAATCCCCAATCAGGGCACATACAAGAATTGACCATGAATACATAAATAAGTGGAACAACAAATTGATATTTCTCTCTCTCTCTCTCTCTCTTTCTTTCTTTCTCTCTTTCCTTCTCTCCCTCTCTCCCTCTCTCCCTCCTTCTCTCCCTCTCCCCCCTTACCTCTCTTCTTGGCTCCCCACTCCCTTCCTTTCTCTCTAGAACCAAAATTCTTTTTAAAAAGGAATACATTTCACCAGCCTACAAGCTAGAACCAGAGGTATAGAAAAGACAATTAGATTACTACTTGAATCTAAATATTATCTGTTTTCATTTGTTCAGATTTTCTCAATAAAGTGAAGCTCCACTGATTTTATAGAAAGGAAGGGAGAGAGAGAAACATCAGTAGGTCGCCTCCTATGTGCACTTTTAGAGGATCAAACCCACAACCTTTTGGTGTATAAGACGATGCTCCAACCAACTGAATCACCGAGCTGGGGCTAGATCTTTGTCTTACAATAAAGTTATAAAAAACAGAGCCACAGTTAGGTTATAAAAATATGAGGAGTTCATGCTTGTTCAAAGTATTGGCGTAATTTTAAAATTTTGAGAAGACAATCTAAGATAACTACCAATTTTAAATCCACATGTCCTTTGACAGAAAATGTCTTTCAGAACTTTCCACATATGGTCAAGAATAAATGTACAAAAAATTCGCACAACAAAATTATAAAATGGTAAAAATTTGAGACACCCTACCTCACTTAGCTTATTTAAAAAGCTAATTGGTGATACACAGTCCAGTAAGACAAGGTGGCTTCGGTGGCACTGGGAGAGCAAGATGGAGGAAACAAAGTTGACTGGAATGCGAGCATGTGGCCCAGCCCCTTGAGACTGGCCTAACAACACACTGGGACCTTGCCCATGCCTCTGCTGTCAGTCTGCCTACCTACGTCCAGTGACCTGTGGCCTCCCTTCTTCCCTTCTACCTAGCTGGAAAAGAAACCCCCCTCACACTAGTACTAAGGATGCCAGAAAATGAGGGAAGGGGCAACCTTATTCATCTTAATTCCTGGGGACTTAGCCCCCTGGGTGTCAAGACTTTCTCCTCCCCCAAAACAGGAAGCTTTTTTTTTTTGTCCTCTTGGCCAGTAGTTCCAAATCTTTCCTTTGTTAAAAACCTTCTTGTTGTATACATATCCTTTGCCCCTTCCATGGATTCCTATGATTTGAAAGATTTTGTCTGCTAAACTGCCAAATGATAACATCACTTTCTCCTTTCTAAATTAACAACGTCTTCTGTAACCGAGTGTATGTTATAGTCAGTGCCCTAGGGGTAGAGAATATCATAAATCTTCAAAGTGCTATCTGTCTGTCAGGCACTGTGCTAAACACTTTACGTAAATTATTTCATCTTCAGTATAATCCCAGAAGGTAGGTTTTATCTGCATTTTACAGAAAAGGAAACAGTATTCTTAGGGACACATAGTAAGTGTCAGAACTAAATATAACAAAAGTGTTTTTATGACAATGCATAGAAAATTATCTGGAAGATTACTTCTTGGAGATGGGAGTAATGGGAGCTTTCGATTATTATTCCACTTCTATATTTGAATATTTCATGCAAGTATATAGTACTTTTATAATTTTGAAAATAAAGTTTTTGCTCAAAACTAAAAGAAAGAAAATCTGGCACTATCAAGTCCTTAATGTAAAATGTCCTAAGGTATCTTGCTCAGAATTTAAAGGTGAATTATGGCTCCACAGCAGATTTCTAGGGTGAAAACTACCCTTTAGCAGCATTTACCTAAAATCTGTAGAACTCAAAGGTGTCTGGCATGGGCACGGTAGCCTAAAGCAGAGATTTCCTTGAGTAGCTCATGAGACAATTTTCATGGCATTTCTTCCTTTTCTTTTTATAACTCTATGATTTATGCTTCCTTTTGTTCATTTTTAACATCTATATGTACTAGTGGAGCAGACATCTGTTTTCTTACTCATACATTAAATTTGATAGGGGTGCCCTTGGGGCATTGCCAAGATCCTTTAGTAACCCACAGAAATGAACTCCGCTCAATAAAGTGAAGTGTAAGTGTGGTTTAGATATGCTAAAATTAATTGGGTATTGGATGAGGCTCTCTTACTCACTAAAGCTAAGGTGAATGACCTTCCAAATGTTTATACTTTTGAGCGGATTGATCACTCTTGTGTTGGTATGCTATATAGAATTTTGTCACCTGCTTTGTGCTATGTATTTCCAAGCAGGCCAACTCTGGGAAGACTTTAACCTTGTATCCTATGGGACATAGCAAGCTACAGATCTACTGCCAGCTGTATTTCTCTCAGAGGGGAATGCCCTTTTCCTACCTCTGATTGTCACTTTGATATGTTTTTTCCCTTTGCCTTATTGTAGATGGGGAGTTTACAGAATCATGGGAAGGTTGGCCAGTTATATCAGAAGTACAGTGTTCATTTCTACTGTTCTTTTTGTTCTCTAGCTTCCCATTGACAGAGGTGGAGGTGAAGGAAAGGCCATGTACATTGACACCGAGGGTACCTTTAGGCCAGAACGGCTGCTAGCAGTAGCTGAGAGGTATGTCACTGGATTAGATGAAAGAAGTATGGCTGTACTGTCATTGTGATTGCCAGGGGTGATCTGGCTGAAGAGTGTCTGCTTATTACTCCATATTCCAAAGTTGTTCGTATATCAGAGAAAAGCATTCTTCTTTAGTCAGAAATCCATGAATTACTTTCAGACTGGATTTAAAAAACAAGACCCAACTGTATGCTGTTTTCCAGAGAAACACTTCAGGTTCAAAGACACAAATAGGTTGAAAGTAAAAGTTTGAAAAAAGATTTGCATGCAAACAGTAACCATTAGAGAATTCTAGTGGCTACACTAACATCAGACAAAATAGGCTTTAAGACACAAAAAAATATTACTAGGGACACATTTTATAATTGAAAGGTCAGTTCAGCGGAGAGATGTAACTATTATAAACATACACACATCTAATAACAGAGCCCCAAAATATATGAAGCAAAAACTGACATAATTGAAGGATGAAATAGACAGTTCAACTATAATATTTGAGGACCAATATCTCACTATCAGTAATGGATAGATGGCTCAGTGAAGGAGAACTACAAAAATCTACAGCTTGCATCATACTTAATGGTGCAGTTCTGAATGCTTTCTCCTTCAGATCAGAAACAAGGCAAGGGTGTCCACTCTCACCATTTATATTCCATATTGTACTAAAGGTCCTAGTTGGTGCACTCAGGCAAGAAAATAAAAGGCATAAAATTGGAATGGAAGGCATAAAATTCATTATTCACCAATGACATGATCCTATATGTAGAAAAACCCAAAGAATCTACACACACAAAAAGAAACTACTAGAACTAAATTAATTCAGCAAGATATTCTATGTCAGTATTTCTATATACTAGCAATGAACAGTTCAAAAACTAAAAATACAATCCCATTTACAGTAGTATCAAAAATAATATTAGTAATTTAATAGGAGTGCAAGACTGGTACACTGAAAACTACAAAACATTACTGAGAAATTAAACATCTGCATAAACAGAAACATTCCATATTCATGGATTGGAAGATATAACACTATTAAAATGGTAATTCTCCCTCAAATTAATCTGGATTCAACATAATCCCTATTGAAATTCTAGCAAGCTTATTTGCAGAAATTGACAAACTGATTATATGGAAATATCAGGGACCTAGAATAGCCAAAACATTGTTTGTGGGGGGAGGACTGGAGATCTTGCTTAGTCTTTCCAGTTTGAAAACTTACTATAAAGCAACAGTAATCAAAACAGTGTGTTGCTAGCATAAGGACAGGCATATGGATCAATGAAAGAATTAAGAGTACAGAAATAAACCCTCTCATTTATAGTCACTTGATTTTTGACAAAGATGCCAAGGCAATTTAATGGGGAAAAGAATAGTTCTTTTCAATAATTGGCTAATGTAATTGAATATCCACATGCAAAAAGACATATTTAGACCCTTACCTTATACCATACATAAAAATTAACTAAAAATGGATAGTAGTCTGGTGATTCCTCAAAAAATTAAACATAGAGTTCTGGCTGGTGTGACTCAGTGGATTGAGTGCCAGCCTGCAAACCAAAAAATTACCAGTTCAGTTCCCAGTCAGGACACATAGAATTACATTATGATCCAGCAATTCCAATTCTGGTTGTATACTCAGAAAAATGAAAGCAGGGACACAAACAGATGCTTACTTGTGTTCCGATGTTCATAGTGGCATTATTCACAATAGCCAACAGGTAGAAACAATCCAGGTATCCATGAACAGGTAAATGGATAAACAAAATGTTATATATACACACAATAAAATATTTTTCAATCTCAAAAAGGAAGGAAATTCTCACACAGGCCACAATATGGATGAACCTTGAAAATATGCTAAGTGAAACAAAACAGTTGCCATAAGGACAAATATTGTATGATTTGTCTTATATGAGGTAGATTAGTCAAATTCGTAAAGAAAAATTAGAACGGTGGTTTCCAGGGGCTTGGCGTGAAAAGAATGGGGACTTACTGTTTAATGGGTACAGAGTTTCAGTTTGGAATGATGAAGAAGTTCTTATTGGAATAGTTACACAGCAGTGGGAATATACTTATTGATACTGGACTGTATATTTTGAAAAGGTTAAAATGGTAAATTTTATGTATATTTACAACAGTATTTTTAAAAGATAATAATCCTAAACATAAAAGCTAAAACTGTAACACTTTGTGGGCGAGGGAGAAAACTCTGATAAGGATCTAGTATTCAGAATATATGAATAACCCTTATAACCAGAAAACAAAATGGAACTCAATTTTAAAAATGGACAAAGATTTGTAAAGACATTTCTCCAAAGATATGCAAATAGCCAATAAACACAAAGACATTTCTCCAAAGATATGCAAATAGCCAATAAGCACAAAGATATGCAAAAATTTAAGTTGCACTTTTAATTTTTAAGCACATGGAAAGATACCGGCATTAGTCAGAGGAAATGCAAATTAAAATCACAGTGAGATACCACTCCTGGCTATAATAAAATAAATAGTAACAAGTGTTAGGGAGGGTGTGGAAAAACTGGAACCCTTCTACATTGCTGGTGAGAATGTAAAATGGTATGGTACAGTTGCTTTAGAAAAGACTATGTCAATTAAACAAATTTACCATATGACCCAGCAGTTTTACTCTGTATGTACCCAAGAGATGTGAAAACATGTCCAGCAACTTGTATGTGGATGTTTATGTTATTGTTATAATCTCCAAAACTTGGTAACAATCCATTATCTATCAACTGGTAAATGAATATACAAAATTTGATTTATTCATTATATACTATTTCCATTATTTATGAAATACTATTTGACCATAAAAAGGAATGAAGTACCAGTATGTATTAGAACGTGGAAGAACCTCAAAAACATACTAAATGATAGAAGCTAAACATATTGTATGTGGTTTCATTTATATGAAATTTCCAGAAGGGGAAAGTCTATAATGATGGTAAATTAGGTTGTTGCCTGGGGCTGGGAATAGGAACAGAAGTAACTGCAAATAAACTTGAGATCTTTTTGAGGTGATGGAAAAGTTCTAAAATTGGGTTGTGATGATAGTTATACAACTCTGCAAGTTTACTAGGAAGTCATTGTGAGGCTTAAGTTGGAAACTGCCTAGCTAGAGAATTTTCTTTTCTAGTTTTATAATTATAACCAAATTATCTTCCCTGTTAACAATTTGAGGAATCCAAGCCATGGAGTGTATTCCATTGAGACATAACATTAGTTTGGAACAATAATTGTAGCTTTTTGCCTTTGCTTACAAAATCCCTGTCATGAAAAGAAGACTCCCTCTCTTGCAACCTGATCTTAGTTTTCTATAAAGATGTGTATACCAGACTGTATCTTCCTTCCCAAAGTTGTTTTTGGTGTTCTTGTACAGAAATTGCACTTTTAATTTTTAAGTACACTATTTTAGTAATCAAAGAGTTCTCTTGGATAGTCAGTAAGATTTTGTCCAGTAATGTAACTGGGTGTTCAGACAGGATAGATGAGATAGTAGAATATCATCTGTGAGGACAGGGACATCATGTTTTTGTTTGTTTTTAGTTTATCCTCACCCGAAGACACACTTACTGAATTTTTAAGATTTTATTTCTTTTTAGAGAGAGGGGAAGGGAGGGAGAGAAACATTGATGTGATGTGGGAAACATCAATCAGACACCTCCCGCACACATCCCAGCTGGTGAGTGACCACGCAGCCCTAGCACATGCCCGGACCAGGATTGAACCACTGACCTTTCGCCCTGTGGGATGATGCTCTAACGAGCCACACCACCCAAGGCAGAGACTTTGTTTTGATCACTCAGAGTATCACTAAGTCCTAAAACAGAGCATTCAGAATGAATTGATATTTATTAAGTGGGGCCATGTTTATGATTTTTATCAACTAAAAGAAAAATGTTTAAATAAAAATTTCATTAGTTCATTGTAATCATTTCTACCTGTAACTAAATTTCTGTTTATGTATATTGCATTTAAATTTATATTTCTGAGAAAATTACAGAGCCTCCTTAAGCTAATACCAAATTTCCCTTCACAACAGAACAATTCTCCCTGATTAATTTTTGCCATGCCCTGGTGAAGAATATTAATCCATATTTAGGTTACTATAACTCAGGGTTCTCAGAATGTGGTTCCTCAGTACAGCTGCATTACCGTCACCTGGGAACTTGTTTGAAATGCAAATTATCTGACTCCACACCAAATCTGCTGAATCAGGAACAGAGACTCTGAGGACAGGGTCCAACAAGCTCTCCAGGTAATCAAAATGTTTGCTGAAGTTTGAGAGCCACAGTTGCAATTGTCAGTGTCACCACATTTTTTTTTAAAGTTCTTTTAAGTACTATGAAAGAGAGAATGACAGTACATCTTTGAGGTGATACAGCAGAGTTTTTCAAACTTACATGTTAAGAATCACATGAAACCTGGCTGGTGTGGTTCAATAGATTGAGCTCCAGCCAGCGAACCAAAAGGTTGCCAGTGAATTCCTGGTCTGGGCACCTGCCTGGGTTGCAGGCCACATCCCCAGTTGGGGGGGGTGTGAGAGGCAACAAATGGTGATGTTTCTCTTCCTCTCCCTCTCTCCCCCTTTCTTTAAAAATAAGTAAATAAAATCTTTTTTTTTTTCTTTTTTTTTTTTAAAGAATCACTTGAGGTATTTGTTAAATAAGCAAATTAATGTCTTCCCTGAAAATTGTGATTTATTGATTTTTTTTTTAGGCTCAAGGATTTTTACATTTTTAACAGGTATTCCAGGTTATTCATATCTTTGAGGAAGTTCCAGAAACACTGTGAGAGAGGATGCTTATTTCTCACCAACTTTTTTCCAAATTGTGGGGATAGAAAATTTCATGTTGCTTTAGGAACTTAAGCACAGAGATCCCCATAGTCATCTTTGCACACTGCTGAGAGGAAAGCCAGGATAATTTTTTTAATAAATCTAGTTAGCATTCACCAGGCGATAGTTTTTTTAATTGATTTTTAGAAAGAGAGCTCCGAGACATTGATTTTTTCCACTTACTTATGCATTCATTGGTTGATGCTTGTCTCTTCCCTGACCAGGGATCCAAACCTGCAGCCTTGGTGTATCCGGACAATGCTCTGACCAACTGAGCTGCCTAGCCCCAGGGCGCCAGGATAATTCTTTGTTTTTCTGGTAAATCATCCGTGTTCTGGTAGCAAAAGATAATCCCCCTTCCTCATAGCAGATTACATCAATGTTTCTTGAGGAAAGACTAGACGACTTGTGTGGTATAATATTTAGGCCTCTTGAATCTTTTTAAAAATCTTACAGCTATGATTTAAATACGGAAAATTTTATCTCCTATTCCCATTTTATTTGGTCAACATCCCAAGGTAAAATTCTATTCTCCTTTTCCTTATTTTCATGCCCAGATTTAACTGATAATTCATCATTATCAATCTGCTTAATGCCAGGACTAACCTTTCATTTATGTTGATGATGGTGAAGAATAGCAGAGGAAGTATCCAGGAAAGTACATAATACGAAGAATCCATTCTATGGTGTGGAAAATGCAGTTGGGTAGGGTGGCATCTCCTGATATCAAGATTTAACTTGTTGCAGTGTTATTTCAAGTGCTACAACAGTCTTTTGTTTTTCTATTCTTTTTGGGAGAAAAACTAATAAAGCTAAGTTTCAGAAAAATAGGTTTGATATAGTATATGTTTTTGTAGTAGTCAGAGTCTCCATATAGAAGGGACTGCTTCTTTAAAGACTGATAGAATCATAAACATAGAAACTTTTGGTTCTCAAAGAATGATATCACATCGATTTGTTTAAACATTCTGTTTTGAAATATTGCATAAAGGAAGTATATTTTTGGACTATATGAAATTAGGTGACATTAATATGAAAGTATGACTGGGTTAAAGTGATGTATATGATTCTCTTTGAAAGCTTTATTCAGCAACAATTATTCAGAGTTTACTAGCTATAAAAAAATGTACTAGGTAGAGAAGCTTAGTCTTTACCCAAGGAATTTGTAGTCTAGTCAAAGAATGGCAGGGTGGCCCCTCACAAGTGCCATAAAAAGATCTAACTCAGGTTTTTTTGGAAGCACAGAAGAGGGAGAATCATGTATATATTTGAGAGGTACAGGGAAGTATTTTTATGGAAGTGTAGGCAATTAGTTGAGTCTTGATAGATGCATAAATCAAATTATCTTTGAAGACATGGGGCTTCATTATGGTACATTTAATGAAAATGAAAGCTGTCTTACTTGAACCATTCATGTCTTAGGGTAGCAGTTATAAAGGCAAGAAAATACAGATTGTCCTAAGAAAATGGAGATATTTTATTTGCCTTTTTTTTTTTTTTAAAGAGAGGGGAAGGAAGGGAGAAAGAGAGGGAGAGAAACATCAATCAGTTGCCTCTCATACACCCCAGCCAGGGATCAAACCCACAGCTTAGGCATGTGCTCTGACCAGGAATTGAATGAGTGGCTTTGCAGGACAATACCCAGTCAACTGAGCCACACTGGTCAGGGCTATTTGCCTTTTTAAAATGCATATGAGGGGAAATCATTATTGAGATATGAAATGAATTAAGGTACTGTTCATTTAACCATACTACCAAATTTTGCAGTGTATAATGGTGCACCTTTTTGCCCAAATTTTTGAGGGAAAATAAGAGTACCTATTATACTTGGGAATTAGTGCTAAAACGTGGGTGTGCGTTATATGCAGCAAAATATGGTAGATACATGTCACATCTTCTATCTTAACTGTAACTAATTATTAGCAATAAAAAGAATGTACTTGTTTCTGTTGAACTTTTTAGAATTTTTTAAGTTTTTGTTTAGATTTTATTCTTATGTAACAAGTTTATATGAATGTAATAGGTCTTTGAGTGATTTTTTTGTTTTGGTCTCAAGTCTGTCACATGTTTTCTTGGTTTATCCAGGAGAACAATGTTTCCTTATATTTGGAAATTTACACTTCAGGAGTTTTCGATAGATTTATTTTGAAGCCCTGCCAGATAGATCTATTTCAAAGCAGTGCTGTCATCTCTCCCTCTTTTGTCTGGACTGGACTTCCTAATAGGAAGGGAATTAATGTGTGTTGGCTCCAACACCACCTCTTACCTAACCATCCAGGTAACTTCTCATCTGCCTGAGTTCTGTGTGCAGCCTAAAAATGTCTCTCCTCTCTTCCAGATATGGCCTCTCTGGCAGTGATGTCCTAGATAATGTAGCATATGCTCGTGGGTTCAACACAGACCACCAGACCCAGCTGCTTTATCAGGCATCAGCTATGATGGTAGAGTCCAGGTATGTGCTCAGTAGAAGACACTGAATATGCTCCCAGGGCCCTTACCTTGAATCTTATACAAGCTATTTAACCAAATTGATAGTACCTTGAATTAGAAATGGAGAGATTTGAGGTTTAGTTCCTATTCTGACAGTCTTGCTTTCTAGTTAAGTCAAGTCACTGTTAAAAAATGAAGCCATAATCCACCTGAACTGGTTGGAAATTTTACCTTGTTAAATGGTACCTCAGACCATGAAGGTTACACAAATACGTTAATGAAACATCTATGTAGAAGTATAACTATGAATATGGGACTTTGGTATAGTGAGGAATGAAGCAGAATCTGACATAAACTAGAAATAGGCTTCAGAGAACCCTTGTTCCTTGTAGGTATGCACTGCTCATTGTAGACAGTGCCACTGCCCTCTACAGAACAGACTATTCCGGTCGAGGTGAACTTTCAGCCAGGCAGATGCACTTGGCCAGGTTTCTGCGGATGCTTCTGAGACTTGCTGATGAGGTGAGTTGTGGGGTAGTGACAGAGGATAACTATTTTCAGGGGCCATGGATTCCAGAGGACTTGCTGGGAGGCCAGGACATCAGGGCTTGGTTATCATCCAGATATCAGTTAGATATGAGGAGAAACTTGAGTCGTTCATTGGTTTTCGAGGGAAAGGGGTGGCCTTAGTAAGGTCCTTGAAATGTCTGTGGCCACAAAAAATGACATTTATCCTTTCTTCATCAGTTTGGTGTAGCAGTGGTAATCACCAACCAGGTGGTAGCCCAAGTGGATGGAGCAGCCATGTTTGCTGCAGATCCTAAAAAACCTATTGGAGGAAATATCATTGCTCATGCCTCAACAACCAGGTAAAGTGAGAGAATAGATGACTTCATCTTGGAATGCCGTGTTAACTATGAAGCAGACATGAAAATACAACATTTCCCTGTTAAAGCTACAATTATGTAATTGGACAAAGGAGCCTTTGCTAAATCTAATTATCATGCTTTGGTTACTGTACGTGTTTGCTTTTAGTTCATAAAAGAATTAAAAGCGCCCTGACTGGTGTGGCTCAGTGGGTTGAGCATCATCCTGCAAACCAAAAAGTCACAGGTTCAGTTCCCAGTCAGAGCACATACCTGGGTTGTCGGCCAGGTCCCAGGCTGGGGGAATGGGAAAGGCAACCAATAGATGTTTCTTTCCTATTTTCTCCCTCCCTCCCCCTTTCTCTGAAGATGAATACATTAAGAAAAACTTTTTAAGATTTTATTTATTTATTTTTATTTTTTTAGAGAGGGAAGGGAGGCGGGGAGAGAGAGAGGGGGAGGGAATCAATCATCAATGTGCAGTTGCTGGGGGCCATGGCCTGCAACCCAGGCATCTGCCCTGACTGGAAATCGAACCTGCAATACTTGGTTCGCAGCCCGCACTCAATCCAGCTATGCCAGCCAGGGCTATTTATTTATTTTTAGAGAGAGGGGAAAGGAGGGAGGGCAACATCAATGTGTGGTTTCCTCTCACGCACCCCCTACTGGGGACCTGGCCTGCAACTCAGACATGTGCCGTGACTGGGAATCGAACCAGCAGCAACTCTTGTTCGAAGGCCAGCGCTCAATCTACTGAGCCACACCAGCCAGAACAATAAAATCTTTAAAATATAATAATAATTAAAAGCCCTCAAATGTCGAGGGCTGAATATGAAGCATATGCCTCCCTCTCATTATTAAAAGAAAATAGCCCTCGCTGGTGTGGCGTAGTGAATTGAGTGCTGTCCTGCAAACCAAAGGGTCACTGGTTTGATTCCCAGTCAGGGCACATGCCTAGGTTGTGGGCCAGGTACCCAGTGGGGGGGGTATGCGAGAGGCAACTGGTCAGTCATTGTCTCTCACACATATTGATGTTTCTCTCCCTCTCTTTCTCCCTCCCTTCCCTTCTCTATGAATGAATGAATGGAAATAATTGGCTCTGGCCAGGCAACTCAATTAGTTATAGCACTGTCCTGATACACCATGTTTGTAGTTGGATACCCAGTCACGGCACACACGAGAGTCAGCTAATGAGTGCATAAATGAGTGAAACAATAAATCGATGATTCTCTCCCTCTCTCCCTACTCCCATTCTCTCTCTCTAAAATCAGTAAATAAAATTTTTTTTTACTCAAAGAAAATAATTGTTTTAATATGGAAAATCCACTAAGGTCGGGGAGGACAGGATAGAAATCCAGGTTGGAAGTACTCCAAGGTATACAGAAAGATTCCAGAAGTCCTTTTAAGAAGTATATACATCCAAACTTTTTTTAGTTCTACCATAAATAGTCAGGAATAGAATTTTTTAGTTATAATAACTTGGGTATTTTGGTCTGTGTCTTTGGGTCAGACTTTACCTGAGAAAAGGAAGAGGAGAAACCAGGATCTGCAAAATCTACGACTCTCCCTGTCTTCCCGAGGCTGAAGCTATGTTTGCCATCAATGCAGACGGAGTGGGAGATGCCAAAGACTGAGTCATTGGGTTGTTTCCTGTGATGAACCTAAGTGCCGCAGCGTAGTGGAGAAGACTGCTCCCTGGGGCTTCTCGTGGGCCTCTTCCTGTTGTGACTGCCAAAAAAAGGCTTCTGGGAAAATATCTATTATATCAGCTTTTCTGGTGGTGTAAACAGGAGACAGGTCAGTAGTCACAGATGGATCTGTTTATTCCTTCTCTAGAGAGTGTGTTAATCTCTATGTGAATTCTTTGGTTTTAGGGGTTGGTGTATGGCATACCTTTGACATAGTGCCTTGTGGTTGACTCGTGACTAACAGCTGGACAATCTTGTGCCTCCAGGAGAACTAGAGCTGGGGAGACCTCTTTCCTCACTGTCTGAATAATGTTGAAAACAAATGTCTTAGCTTTGTGGCAAAGGGAATAGGTCTCCTCAGAGGTTCTTTTTCTCTGTCAGTAAATCTGTCAGTCAGACAGAGGCTTTTAAGTTTGTATGCTTGAATTATCTTATGTAAGAGTTTGTTTTTAGTTAAAGAATACTGAGCAGACCTGCTGAGCCACCAGCCTTTAACCACCTATGTGCTTGATTTTGTTTTTTCGTTTTGTTTTTACTGCTAAGAGCATCAAGATAATTCTGGAATCATACGCATTTCAGAGGCTTAAGTAGATTGAGGGTGGGACTGCTATAAAGTAGTTATTTGTAGTGACTGCTATTTATAGGAGTTACTCTGGAACAAACTAAATATTTCAAGATAGGGCATTTATATTTTTGGCACTGGGTAGGGGTGGTCAGTTTCTATTACTTTAAAATTGAAATTTAGAAGGAAAGTCCTACATTCAGATGATTGAGCTTATTGTCCTTCAACCTAATATACTATTACAAGATGGATATACCATGGCTTTCCTGTGGCCTTTGTTTTTATTCTGTAAGTCTCATGTTGTAGAACTCGGATGCTTCCCTGGGTTATTCTGCTTCAGGGGGTTGATATACTCTTCTTCTCCTTTAAACTTCTACTCAGGATGGGTTTTAACAAGCTCTTCTAATTTTAAAAGGCCTCTCAGCTAGTACTGGGAGGAAAGGCAGTGAAAATCTCTGCTGGCGCCTGTGTCTGTCCTAGTGCACATAGGGAGATACAGTTTGGTGCAGCTTTGTTTTAAAAGCAGTTCTGTTTCCTGACTTTTAATAATGGAGTATCTCTTCGGTCTTCTCTTACCAAAAGACATACCTAGGGTGGTAGAATAAAGCCACAGTGACAGATTCTGGAATGAAAGCTTGGTTTTTGTATAAAAGCATCTCAGTATTTTAGGACCTATGAAGTATAAATGTCTTTGTCTTAGAAATTTGTCTTAATTTTCCTCATAGGTGGGATTAGGCTTTGTGCTGCTGCTCAAAGTGGGTCAGGGAACACCTGCTTACTTGGAATAGGCCTTATTAGGCTAAAAGTCAGCTCTCTGCCTCTATTTTACATGTAAAGAAAATTTTCGCTGAAATAGCATTAACCAGAGAGCATATTCTAAACTCTTCAGTACTGCTTTCTACTTGTCTACAACAGCCTCTAAAGTAGGTAACGGTTACGGAAGTGTCAAGCATAAGGAGTTGATAACAAATAAACATAGGGGAATATAATCGCTTCTAATCAAATTTGGTTTATTTTAAGTTTGTACCAAAATATATTCCAGGCAACTCCTCAGATCATCATTTTACTGTCTCATAAGCCTTATGCACAACCGTCATTCCAAAAGCAGCCAAGACGTCCAGCCCCTCGGCCCAGGAATACAGTTAGAATCAACATGATAGGTAAAATGAGGGCAGTGTCCATGGACTGCCCTGACCCTTCCTTTTACCTTGATAGATAGGATATGATTTTAGGACTATGTAATTTGGTGTTGAATATTAATCAGTGAAAAAGATGGGATTGGAGAGTACAAGTTCTGTGTTTTGTTCTTACAGCTCTTTGAGGTCCGTTCACATTACCCGCAGTTAGAAGGAGGCCTTCAGTTCTCTACCCACATTCACTCCTAGAATAGGTCTTAATTTTTCAAGAATTCACTTAAGGGAGATTACAACAGAAACTCAGGCTTAATTAAGTACTTCCCCAATTGCAGATTAGTTGAACAATTAGAATAAAGTAACCAGTGGACAACAGGTAAGAAGATGGTAGCCGTACTAGTTAGGCCCAGGAGCCAGGATACTCCCTTAACCAGTCTGCTCAGTTTCCTGATCTAAGCAGGGTCTAAGGGGGAAAAAAGACTTGATTTTCATCCCCCTTAAGCAGTGGTATTTCTCAAGTCATGAAGGCCATTGTAATGTGGTTAGTTTCCTAAAATTACTTCCAGTTCTTCCAAGTCCTTCTGGAAAGCTGAATCCTAGGGAGACAAGAGAACAAGACTAGGACCCAGAATCTAAGCCACCATTTCCCAAACCACTGGTACCCGAGAAGAAGGGTCCTTTGCTTCCTTTCTGAGCTGTTATCATAGCGCCGACAGGCAAAAGTGTATAGACTCTTTTCTAGGGAAATAAGATTTCAAGGGAAGAAGGTCCAGGAATGACTTGATGAGCCCAGTATTAGAAAAGTTCTTAAAAGTATTACCTCATTAGTGACATCCGGTAGTTCCTTGGCCAGCTTTACCCACTGTCTGGCTTCAGAGTTTTGTCCTAGTTCTCTGTAGCACTGAGAAAAGACAATAGTGAACACCTGGGAGAAATACTAGAAGGGCATAAGTAGGTATGCTTTAGGAGTTTTCAGAATATTATCAACATACACACTTTTCATCTGTATTGAAATAGGTGACTTTACCTTGGAAATATATACCCTTCCTGCTTTGGAAAATCCTGGCTGGATTTCTTCAGCCTGGAGGAGGGAGGAAGACATTTCAGTAAGGTGCTCCCAAATTTATGGCAGGCTCTGAGGTATTTTAGAGATTTCCAGTCCTCCACCTGGAGACTGATTTAGTGGGTCTGGGGCTGGGTGGAAATTATATATATATAAATTTTTATTTTTTTAATAAGCTCTCCAGGTGGTTCTGATTTCCCGTAGAATAGGCAAACAGAACTGCCCCCTGCCAGAAACCCCTCCAAACAATGTCGTTAGGAAGAGTGGTGTCACCGGGGCATTCTTGACTATTGTCCACCCCTTCCCTTCCTCCCCGCCCCCCAATACCTTCAGGAAGCTCTGGAGAGCATCCTGCACAGTAGCACTGAGAGGGCTTTCAAACAAGGCTGCAGCAGTTTTTTTTTCCAGCCAACTCAGGTGAGCAACCTGCCACCAAAAGATCAAGGTATAAATAAAAAGTTTTAGCAAGTATTTTTTAGAAATATTGCATATTCTGTACTGAAAAGAAACAAGTTCAGGACTGGGTCCAATCACAGTAACATCATTCAGAGGAAATGCACTTGAGCCAGACTGAGGCCCCTGCTCCCAAATTTTCACTGCAAGAAGATCAGTGTCACAGGCACTAAGGGTCCTTATATTAAGCCCTGGAATTTAGCTCACCTGGTAATACCACCTGCCAAGGAGAAAGTGACCCATGGGGTTTTCTGGCTGGAGAGCAAGGGCTTTGTCCACATGTTCCTGAGGGGAAAGATATAAATATAAACACCAGACACCAGAATTGATCAGGGAAGAGGGGCAAGTCATTATAGAAGAAACAGCCTTCGCAAGGAGCTAAGACGGAGCAGGGAATATGGACAGCACGAGGGAAAGAAGAGAAGCCTTTCCTCACCTTGAAGCTAAAGCCACTCTGGATGCGCCGCTGGATGCCCTCATGCTCAGCCAGCTGACCACAAAGCACTGCATACCTGAGGGGGAAGCAGCAGCAAGCTCAGGGAGGGACAAGGATGGACTCCCAGCCCATGGCCTAGTGGCATCACCCCTGCACCCTCAACTTAGAGCTGAAGATATCTGTAGATAATTTGTATTTTCACAGACCTGTGGTTCCAATTCATATTCTTTTTGCGAACACAGTGGTAGGCTCTCCTAAGTATACATATTGGGTATAAAAAAGCTGAGTCCTCCGCAGTAAGTCTCTTACACTTAATATTTGGGCAAGGTCTTGATCCAGATGTCCAACAAATTTCTCGTAATGAGTATACATAGGTACCATAAAAACTTAAAAAGCAGTTCTCTAACAATCAGCATCATAGGGTAGGATACCCAAGTACATTGCTTTTTCTCTCCTGAGCAGACACTAAAAAAGAGGTCTCATTAGCCTTGGCAGTATACACATATACCAGCTGTACTCTGGAACAATCAAATTGGGATGAGATAGTCTAGGAATTTCTGATGTTAATTTGAGAACCAATAGAAGCAAAGGAAGAAGGGCTTCTGATTTCAGCCCTCCTTCACATCCTTCCAGGGGGACAAAGCCAGCCAACCAGCTTCCCATCTTGTGTGTGGAAGGACACAGGTCTCATGACCTCATCCCTCCAGCATTGTTTCCAGGGCACAGTTGACAGTAAATGAGTGTCTAAAGGCCCAAGGTGCTTTTTCATATATTCACCAATTATCTGGGGGTATTTTTTCTTCTCCATGTCTCCCCATTCGTGTGGGAGACCAGCAAGCAGCAAGTTTTGTGGGATCTATAGCGGTCCTAACAAAAAACAACGGGGGAGATGTGGGAGGCCACTCTGTGTGGCGTGGGCCCAGCTCCCACTGGGAGATGCACAGGACCCACGCCCATGGATAGGTTTTCCTGTGGGGAATCAGGCCTGCAATGTACCTAGGCCGCTACGAGTCTTGCTTTTTGCTAAAACTCCCTCACCCTGAATTGAGGACATTTACTGCAAAGCGACTCCCTAAAATCCATGCTAAACCTTCCAAGGATGAGTGTAACCAGTTCAATTGCTTTTGCCTTTTCATTTGCAAATATCTCTTCTGTGGTGTGATTACCAGCATCCTCTCCTTTGTTTTCTGTATAAGGTAACCACCTAAAGCGAGCCTGTGCATAGTTAATGAGAATCTTGTCATGTGCCCAGTAAGACAATAAAAACGGATTGGAGCCAGGTCCAAGGCTTTTCCTCCCCTTGAGAGAGAAGCCATGCCGTCCCTTTTCCTCCACAGGACTCGGTAGTCCATGTGAATTTGTCTCTCATTTCATCCATGATGTGGACCCCACGAGCCAGGGTCCACATCCCATTCACAATACAGACCAGGCAAAGGGCCTGGGCTGAGGTGTATATGGGGTGGGTTTACTCTGCCTCTTTCTGTACAGGCAGTGTAAGGACAGCCTGTGGTAAGCACCGGGAGGCCTGGGGGTATTTCTATCAGATACTTCCAGAGGCTCATTTCCATATTTAGTCCAAATAGCTGTTTTCCAAGAATAAGAAAGCATGAGGCCGATTTCCATTCTTGGGAATCCAGGAGCCCCAAGGAAGCCCACAGAGAAGTAGCACCTGTGACACTCTAGTAACAGTGATGACCTGGCCTCTGAGAAGACGCCTTGCAGAGATAAAGTTTCAGCAACAGGCAGAGCTCAGTCTGAGGACAGAGATGGAAAGAAGAGGCAGGAAAGGAACATTTTCACTAACTCTGAGGTGCTGGGACCAGGCCCTAGGTTGGCCCTAACCCATGCAAACTGGCAGAACTTTGCCTCACATGAGACCACAAACAGGGCTGCTGTTTTTGTAAGCAAAGAAACTGACTAAACTTCCTGGGGGGGAACTCACATCCATTTTTATTCTTGCAAGCCAAGCAAAGAAGCCAAAGCTCACCACCAGCCAGGGTAGCAGCTAGAGGAAAGAGGATGTTGTACAGGGGAGGGTAGCTGCAAGCTGGCTCCCTGAGGAGCCAAGAACCCATAAATTTTGTAGCTAAGGTGGCGTACAAAGCTGCTCATTTCTCCAAGCCCCAACAGGAAAAAAGAATAAAGCTTATACTCTCCCCTGCCTCATCCT